TGAATTATTACCATTATTATTGCTAGCCACTTTGGCATTGAGTTTGGTCAAGGATAAATTTGAAATAGTTGTTAAGAGGTTTTTTAATGACCTGGTAGTGGACAGTGGAATATGTGGAGCAAGATTTGTACATGGAGAGGGCAAGGGTTGGGAGAGAGTAGCAAAACGTCACCAAGAAGGTGACAAAATCATATCTACCATACATTTGCATTTATTTAAAAAAACATGTGACCCTGACATCCATAAATTATTTAGTTGCCAGTGGTCACCTTTTCCTTTAATATGCAAAATATTTTTTTTCAAGTCTCCATTAGCTGAGCATTGACTGAGAAAAGCCTGGTACATACCCAATATTTCTGAGGTTTCTTGGACTATATACTCCTGGTTACCTCTTGCTCTGAGTTCTTGCCTCTCCTGGATTCTTAATTACCCTGGTGTCTGCCTTTTCTCTTGCCATGAACTTTTCCTTTCTTCACCGTGCCATTAGTCAGGACTCTTTTCTTGCAAATGACAGGTACACCTCAAGAAAGAAATTTACTTGTTCAAAGAGCCGAGAAGGCTAGGGTAGCTTAAAAGAAATGTGGGAACCAGGCTCTCAGAACCTGGAACCAGGATTCACGGCTCTCAAGACTCTCTTGGTCTGTCGCCCATCTCTGCCTGGCTTCATTCTCTCCCATTACAGGGGGGCTGGGTGGATTCATTCCTACAACCCTAGGCCTCTATCCTCACAACTCTCATGTAAGAGGGCGATAAGAGAACTACCCTCCATGACCGATTGCGAAAATTCTGGCCAAGGACCCAGCTGTTAAGAGCCCATATGTTGATTCAGTCCCTGTGAGCAAAGGGATGTGATACTGTAATTGGCTAGCCTAGGCCATTGTCTAACTTTGTGGTTGTAACCGTTAGCTGCCAGTGAGTTGGCCCCTGACTCATGGCACCTCCATGCACAATGGAATGAAATGCTACCTGGCCCTGCACCATCTGCATGATTGGTTGTGGATCAGACTGTTGTGATCTATAGGGTTTTCATTAGCTGATTTTGGGAAGTAAATTGCTAGGCCTTTCTTCCTAGGCTGTCTTAGTCTGGAAGCTCCACTAAAGCCTGTTCAACTTCATAGCAGCACATAAGCCTCCACTGATAGAAGGTATTGGCTGTACGTGAGGCGTGTTGGCCGGGAATCGAACTTGGCTCTCCCACATGGAAGGTGAGAATTCTACTGCTGGGGTGGAGAATATGGAGCACTGTGATTGACTGTTCTCCAGAACCTCATGAAGTGGGAGGAGTTCCCCAAATGTAAAAGATGCTGTTACCAGAAGAAGGCAGATGGAAGCAAGCCCTTCCACAGTCCACTGCCTGCCACAAGCATGGCTCAAGCATTTCCTTCTCCATTCCCCAAAGCATAGCCAATGCAAGGCCGTGTCGAGTAACAGAGCTTTCCTGAAGGTTGGAGGGTAACAAAGGGCAATTACGGCATAGCAACAGCAAACCCAGCATCATACAAATATTAATTCAAAATAGAATATTTGACACTTAGAAGTTCCTAAGCCACCAGTCTTGCTGGCTCTCTTCTGGGTCAGCTGACATGTTGCCAGGCCTGCTTTCCCCACCAGATCATTCTGTTCCATCCTTCCCCTTCTCTAAGGGTCCAAGGATCCCAAATGTCCTCCTACCTGAGTTTCCATGGGACACAGTCCTAAATTCCAGCTACTTTATTGTGCTTAGCCATTGAGTTATTTCTTTCTCCTTCTAGTCCTACTTCTCACAGCCTCTTCCCTCCAAAACAAACACACAAACAAAAAATCCCAAAAACTCATCAAGGTGTTTTCCTAAACAAAAGAGTGGATTTTCTACTTAGGAGAAATCCTTCAGTCCTCTTAAAGTGATGGTTCAAACTACAGCTAGCTTCTAAAATGATAAATTTCTTCTTCTGGTCCATATGTATTAATGCACATAGAAAACATGCCCCTCCTCCAATATGGTAGGCCAAAATATTAAAGTTAATAAGAAGTTACCTCTGAGTGGTGGAATCATGGGTGATTTTTACGGGTTTTGTTGGTTTTATTGAATTTTTTTAAATCTCTATTTCTACAATTAACAAGTGAAACTGTTCAAGGCAAGAAAGAAAAAAGGGACAGAGACTGCTGCGTCTGTACCTTTTATCAAGAACTGCAAGAATCTTCCCAGAAGCTTCTCCTCCCCCATCTAGTCTTCACCCTGTCTCTTTGGCCAGACTAGGTCATATGATCACCATCATTTCCAGGGAGGACAGAAAAGGGAGTATTTAGTTTTCCCAGCCAGTACAGCATCTACAGGGAAAGAAGGCAACATAGACGGGCATTGGGGATGATTATCGGTCCTGTCAACCAACAGTATTTACAACAGCAGAAATAGGACCCGAGATAAAGAGGCAGGAATGGGGCTGCGCAGTTTGCCTCAGTCTAGGGTAGGTGTTGCTTTGGTGTGTGATCCGGGGCATCCAGACAAGACTCCTGATAATAAAACTTAGAGCTCTGGGTCTTCATTAAGACTTAACTCAGGCATCAAAATGAACCCTACCCCGTCCTCTTTAGTACTTTGTAGCAATAGTAATTATTACTGCTATTTACAAAGTGCTTTCTTTTAGTAAAATATTGTTATCCTTGTTTTACAATTAAAAAAAAAGTAAACTCAAGATTAGTATTGGTAACAAATTTGCCTTTAAAAGGACATTGAGTCCTCCTTCCCTCCCGGCATGTGCCATTCAAGGACTCCGGACTCTTGGGCCCAGCACAAGAAGTGATCCTTCTGCCATAAATGGTGCTTCTGGCCCCAAGCTGAAGGCATACTTTGCCCAGCTAGTTAATTCTTCTGGTCCTGGGTTGTTCCTGGGTCATGTCTTTGGAAGAGGTGGTGTGCTGGAAAGACCTTTGACCTGAGTCTTAGACCTGGCTTAGCATCTCTCTCATTGCCTGATGTTGTGGATTGAATTTTGTCCTCCCTAAAATATGTATTGGAATTCTAATCCCTATACCTGCAATCCAATTTGGGACTAAGCTTTTCTTTGTTATGTTAATGAGTGATTTGACGCTTAAATCACTTCTGAGTTATAAAAAGAGTGGATTGCACACAGAAACAAGCACAAACGGAGAAGGTAGATGCCACATGACGATTGCCAAGGAATCACGCAACACCAGGGCTACAGAAGCTGAGACAAGGATCTTTCCCCAAGTTGACAGGGAGAGACTCTTCCCCTGTAGCTGGTGTCCTGAATTTGAACTTCTAGCCTCCTGAACTGTGAGAAAGTAAATTTCCATTCTTTAAAGCCACCTACTTGTGGTATTTCTGTTACAGCAGCACTAGGTAACTAAGACACCTGACGTGGGAAAATCACTGCACTCCGTCTGCGTCTGCTTTGTCCACAGCACTTGCTTCTCCCTGCCTATTAGCCAGTATCTGTGAAAGGACTTGGAATGGCTAAAAAACAAACAAAAAACTCTCTATATGCTGGCTATTTATTATGTGTTCATATTCCTTGTCCTACACTCACCCTTTTTTTCCTCCAGAAAGTGCAGGGAAATATGCCAAATATGGATCTGTTCAGACCCTGGTTCCCTGTGTATTTGTTGACAGAAGAAATGCCTTAAGGTAGAGGAAGAGGAAGCTTGCCAAGGATGTTTAATGGGATCATGTAAACATTAATATTCTGAATAATTGTTAGTGTTTATTTTAAGCCCTGTACTTTAAATAACTGGAAAGACTGTACCCACATTGTAAGTATAATTTCAGAAGGCTACACCAAATCATTTCAGGCTGGGTTGGCAGACACTTGCCATTACAATGGTTGCTGGCCACTGCAATATCCATCTTCTCCTTCTTCCTTGTTAATAGAACCATAATTACGTTCAAGTCACCTCCCCAGACTTCCTCGCAGCTAAGGGTAACCACGTGACCCACTTCTGGTCAACAAGATGCAGCTGAATGTTGCTAGGTAGGGGCTTTCGGGAAATCTTTTAAAGAGGAGAATCTTAGCTGGCATTTACCTCTTGTTCTTCCTCCTTTTTGTGCTTGGAATGCAGACTCAACACTGGAGCATCCACTTTGCGCCCATGAGCACAAGAGCCACACACTAAAGATGGCCGAGTAGAAAGAATGACCCTAAGTCCTTGACAGAAGTTGCTGGGTGGTGCAAACTGTTAATGTGCTTGACTGCTAACCGAAAGGTTAGAAGTTCGAGTCTACCCAGAGACACCTTGGAAGAAAGGCCTGGAAATCTGCTTTCAAAAAATCAGCCATTGAAAACCTGTGGAGCACAGTTCTACTCTGACACACACGGGTCACCATGAGTCGGAGGCGAGTCGACAGCAACTGGTTTTTAAGTCCTTGACAACAATAGGGAGATACTCTCGACAGCCCTGGACTACTACCTTATAAAGTCTTATGTAAAAACAATCAATCCATCAATGAATCAATCAATCAAACAAACAGTAAAGCTTATTTGGTTATTCCACTGTAATCTGGTTTCTGTTCCATGCAGTCGAACACAAGCTTGACTGATAGACTATGTATTAAGACTCTTAATGTCCTATGACAGTGTTGTTGTTTGGTGCCATCAAGCTGGTTCCAACTCATAGTGACCCTACGTACAACAGAACGAACCTTTGCCCGGTCCTGTGCCATCTTCACAATTGTTGCTATGCTTGAGCCCATTGTTATAGCCACTGTGCCAATTCATCTTGTTGAGGACTTTACTCTTTTTCGATGACGCTCTACTTTACCCAGCATGATGTCGTTCCCCAGGGACTGGTCCCTCCCGACAACATGTCCAAAATATGTGAGACAAACTCTCACCATCCTCACTTTAAGGAGCATTCTGGCTATACTTCTTCCAAGACAGATTTGTTGGTTCTTCTGGCGGTCCATGGTATATTCAATATTCTTCACCAACACCATAATTCAAAGGCATCAATTCTTCTCTATATATGCATATATGCACACACACAGTCACCACAATAAAAAAAATCTGCAGAAAACTCAACACACTTTCAACAAAACGTTAAGGTTTTATTAAGGATATCATTTCGGAGACAAAAAGCAGTTCATTTTATTTAGCAAAATAAATTTAACAAATGCATTTAAATAAGGTAAATTCAAGACTGTCTGTGGATTTTCTTTCTTAGTTACTTGCTTTTCTGGCAGTTGTTGGACTTTCTGTCTTCTAGCCTATCTGGGTTCTTTCCAAATGAATACAGCTATAATCCAAGACAGCGCTCTATGAAATTTGAATGATTCAAATACTCCTCTGTATTCTCACCCACTCATTAATGCATCTAAATGAAACATAAGGAAAACAACTTAGGGAAGTGGATTCAGAAGAAAATGTTTCCCCCTCTCAGTCCTGTCGTCTTTTCAACAGAGGTCTTGCTTGCTTGAAGTGGATTGGATAGTAAAATCCTACTGGGAGGTGACGGTCAAAAGCAAACTTAAATGGTTTTCACACCATCTGTCATCCTGACTCTAAGGAAACTGCAAACCACACCACTGTCCCAGCCATTGCTTTACACAGAAGTTGTAATGTTCACTTCCCAACTTTATTTTCTTTTCTATTTATGTACATTAAAAAATACAACATTGTGTCAAATAGCAGGGCAGTTAACAATGGAACACACAACACTACACTGAAAAACCAAAACAGTTTGGTTGAGCAGAGGAGAGAAACAGCAGATGGTCTTCATGGAGGGAAGCTGCCGATGCCCACTGTCTAGATTAGTCCGTAACGGATCTGCACTCTGAGGGCAGGCCTTCTGATTGCCGCCACTGGGCCAGGCGTTGCTTGAACCATTTCTGAAGGAGGAAAACGTGTAAAATTACCTGTCTCGTACTGAAAAACTGAAAGGTATATTCCCTTTCCAAAAGGTAGCCTTTGTGGCCCAACTGGAAAAGAGGAGAGTGTAAGACGTGTCCATAGGGATGTGGCACTTACCTTTCCTGCCCTCAGGACCTTTGCACGTGCTGTTTCTTTTGCCTAGGAAGCTCTATATTTATTTTTAATCTAACAGTCTCCCTCTCATCCTCAGGTCTCAGCTTAAATGTAAATCTTCTCAATGAAGTTTTCCCTGAACGTGCTATCTAAAGTGGGTTCCCTACGACTTCCTTATTCTCTATTTTAGTACCTTGATATCCTCACAGAATATTCAGTATTTGTTTGTAGTTACTTTATTACTTGTGTATTCACTTGTTTTTAGTCTACCTTCCTTTCCAGAATGTAAGATCTGTGTGGCAAACACCACATTCATCTTACCACCATTGTGCCAAGGGTTTAATAATCAGGGATTCATCAATGTTTGTTGAATGAATAAAAGAAATGGAGGCATTTCCTTGATGCCCCAGATAGACCTCTATGGCCGCTATATCTCATCGATGTGTGCTCATCTCACCAAAAGCTCATCAGAAGCACTCACTAAGTGTTTGCCGAATAAAAGAAATGGTTAGCTAGTACCCGACAATCTCAGAGCACCCCTTCTTGGGAATACATGGAATAGGCTTGCCCAGTCTCTTTTGCCCCAAGGCCACTGAGCAGCCGGAGAAGATAGAATAGGTCCACCAAGTTTATGCAGAATCTTCCAGCTCTGGGTAACCTACATAGTCACACCTCACAAAAGTGACCATGTACTTAGGGAAGGTCCCAGATGGGAAGTTTCTAGACATGGTGTGATGTGAGGGCTAAAACATGTTTATGTTGTAAGGCAGTGCGGTTTATTCTTGATAAGTCAGTGGCTGCTGTTATTACGCTACTAAGGAGGTAGGGACTCCTCAAAGAGGGGCCTAGGAGACCCATGCTGGGGAAGAGGGCTTGGGTCTGGACTAGGTTGGTTAAGGGGTATTATGGATTAAATTGTGTTCCCCAAAAATGTGTGTCAATTTGGCTAGGTAATGATTCCCAGTATTGTGTGATGGTACACCATTCTGTCATCTGATGTGATTATCCTGTGTGTTGTAAAGCCTTCCGCTATGATGTTAATGAGGTAGGATTAGAGGCAGTTATGTTAATGACGCAGGACTTAATCTACAAGATTAGGTTGTGTCTTAAACCAATCTCTTTTGAGATACAAAAGAGAGAAACTAGCAGAGACATGAGGACCTCATACTACCAAGAAACAAGAGCCAGGAAAATACTGCATCTTTTGGACCCAGGGTAGCTCCTAGTCCAGAGGAAGATTGATGAAAAGGACCTTCCTCTAGAGCCAACAGAGAGAAAGTCTTCCCCTTGAGTTGACAGCCTGAATTTGGACTTGTAGCCCACTAGATTGTGAGAGAATAAACTTCTGTTTGTTGAAGCCCATCCACTTGTGGTATTTCTTTTATAGCAGTGCTAGATAACTAAGACAAGGGAGAACTGGGATTTTCAAAAAACAACTTTGAGGAAGGACTAGAGCGGAAGTAGAAGCAGCAAGCACTGATCCACAATGAAGGGACTGGGTTAGAAAGTTCGACAGGAACTCATGACCCCCAAGCTCTATTTGCCTTTTGTGCATCCTAACCTTTCACACATCATGATGTACATAGAGAATGATGATATTTGCATGTCACACTGCTGTAAACAGGCGAACTACTTGGGTAGGTGACCACCAGGGGCTCTGCAGTCCAGATCCTGCCAACAGGAAGGCCTACTTTAACCAACAAAGAGGTAAGCTTAGACAGTCTTATTATCCCTTCCAGGTTTTCTAAAATTCACTTACTGTAGCTACAAGGACATGAGGAGGCAGAAAGGAAGCAAAAAGCACACAGTTGTGAGAGGCCAGACCTGGGATGTGCTAATAGAGACAGTTTTGTGAGAGGTGTCTACAGAGCTCCTGACTTAGCACAGGCCAATGCATGTCTGGCGTCGCTGGGTGGTGCAAATGGTTAACATGCTCACCTGCTAAACTGAAAGCTTAGAGGTTTGACTCCACCTAGAGATGCCTCAAAAGAAAGGCCTGGCAATCTACTTCTGAAAAATCAGCCGTCGAAAACCTTATGGGGCAGAGCTCTACTCCGACACACGTGGGGTCACCAGGAGTTGGAATCGACCTGATGGCAACTGTTAATGTCTGCCTAGATGTCAGTTTCAACCTAAGGACAAATGGGGTGGGAAACTCTCATCTCTTCAGAGATCTAGGGAGCTAAAGGGGAGTTCAGCATAACCCCAAGGTCAGAAAAAAGGTGAGAACCACAGAGAGAGAAGTGCCTCTAAGGATCCAGGCCTGCAGAGCTAGAAAAGAGAGTGAGAATTCACAGGACCAGTCAGGGCTCTGCACCAGTGCTGAGCCAGCTGATGGCATGGGACCATGCCTACAACTCTCACCCTAACTGTGTAACAGAGCTTACACGCTGAGGTTATTTACACAGTTGTCAAGATCAGTTGTCTTATTCACCTTTTTACTGTGGGATGACAGCAAAGAAAAGTAATCCAAAGCAAGTGGTAGCAGGCTGCTAGTAGGGCAGCCTTCTCTTTGGGGGTTGCTCTCTGGGTGCCATATTTTGCTCCTCCTGGAGTCCCTAGGTGGCACAAATGGCTAAGCACTCAACTACTAACTGAAAGTTTGGTGGTTCCAACTCACCCAGAGGCGCCTCAGAAGGTCTGGCAATCTGACTCCAAAAGGCCATAGTCATGAAAATCCTATGGAACACAGTTTTACTCTGACACATGTAGATGGGGTTGCCATGAGTCGGAATTGAGTCAAAGGCAACTAGGTTTTTTTGTTGTTTTTTTGGGGGGGGGCGCGGGGGGAAGGGATCACTAACCTTCAGAAAAAGGAAGGGGTCACATAACTTTGGTGTCTAACCAAAATTCTACTGCCTGAGATGGGCACATTTTTTTCTGGAATTCAGGTGTGTGTTTAGTTAACTTCAGATTCTGGGATGAGAGCAGCACAGCTCCAGCCTCATTTATGAAGTAGTTCTCTGGGGGTTTCAAGGCTGCAAGTTCTGATTAAATAGGATTTCCAGTTACTAGAGCTGAATAAATGGCAGAGTTTTAAAGGCTGACTAATTAAAACCTGGAAGAGGAAAACCTCATTTTCTATCAGGATTCATTGAAGACAAAATGGTTGAGCTGGCCTCATTCAGAAAAGCCACCCACACATTTACGCGACATAATGGAGCAGAATATTAATGCACAATTACTGAAACAAGCCTGCATTTGTGAATCTGTGAGTTGGTATCCAAATGGTTAAAAACCAAGCCCTAACATTGGGGGTTGGAAGGAGGTTTAAGAAAAGCTCAACTATTTTTCTGAAGATTAAAAAAAAAAAATCAAATATATAATAATTTAGCAAGCCAGTTGCTGTCCAACAAAAACTAATAAGCACCTCTCTTTTTTTCCCCTCTAGAGCTGAAACATAACATATCTCACTCACATCAACACTAATCTTTCACCTGCCTTTATCGTTCTCTTCTTTGTTTCAGTCATCCCCCGGGAAAGCTATTCATCCCTTGCTTGCTTATAAATGAATGCCCACATTACCCTTACCCATTGATGGAGATTTATTTGCTCAGAGGGAACAGATGATAATTAGACATTGTGATGGGGAGAGGTTGGGGTAAAATAATATTGTTCCTGTTCTTTTCTCTAGAAACTGTTAGGGACTGAATTGTGTCCCCCTAAAATATGTGGTGTAAATCCTAACCCCTGTATCTGTGGTTGTAGTCCCATCTGGGAATGAGTTTCCTTTGTTAAGTTAAAGAGACAGGATTAGTGTAGGGTGTGTTTTGAATCAATCTCTTTGAGATATAAAAGAGATTAAACAAGCATGCCAGAAGCAGAGATGAGGGAAGACACACGCCAAGCAAACCACATGAAGATCGCCCAGGAGCAGAAGCTCAAAGAGAGAAGGACCTTCCTCCAGAGCCAACAGAGAGAGAAAGCCTTCTCCTAGAGCCCGCTCCCTGAATTTGGACTTCTAACCTCCTAAACTGTGAGAAAATAAATTTCTATTTGCTAAAGCCATCCACTTGTGGTATTTCTGTTACGGCAGCACTAAATAACTAAGACGTTAATATTTCATCCTTTTCAGAGGGAGACCTTTAGAGGTCTTTATTCTACTGATAAAACATCCAAACAACTAAAACCACTGGGTTCTGGGAAAAGGCCCAGGACACCAAGAGGAGATAAAAATACTGGAAACCTCTCTAAGAACCAATGCCAGCTACACGGGTCTTGAATCAGTGATAAAACAAAACGCCAGATCATCCCAGCCTCCCAGGGGGCTCATGAAAGAGCCTTTCCCAGCGCCTTCTAACACTACCTTCAAAATAATAAAAGACACAGGGGCTGTTATTCTGCAAGGTTTCACTTAATTTAAATGAAGGAGATGGTGAGATTACTGCCCTGAGAAAAAACCATTGTAGGCTCCCAGCAAATGCAACTTAAAAAGTTATTTCAATTAGCACACCTTTCCCTTCACTCCAGGAAGCAGAGAATTGTGTCCTACAGTACAGCAGTTATGAAGCGGCCAGCAGAGGCCCCTAGTCAGAGAGTGCTTCATCCTCGGATTCCCTCTTGACCCTGCAGAAGTATCAGCGGTGTGAATCAGGTCTACTTCACCATCTCATGAGAGCATCTCATGCTTATTTGTCCTCTACTCAAGTATTGTTTGTTCTAGGTAAATAAAGAATGTGGTTGCTTTCCTGGGGGTGGCTAGTATTGGACTGGGGGAAGAAATCAGGTACATGAGATAAATATTATTTTGGTTTTGGTGACCCTTCATCGTGGAAAGAAGCAACACTAATAAGAATAAAAACAGGGGTGGTGCTGATACCAGACATTGTTTATATGTAGGTGAAGCAGATCATGGTCTCCGTGG